ATTTTAGGAGAGTAAGGACTAAAGAACTTTTTAAAAGAGATTTCTATTAGATTAATCTATAAAAAGATATAAAAAAATATATAAAATCTTATATAGTATATTAAATTATTTAAATACTAAGATATTATCTTTTTAGTAAGTTTAAATTACTACTAATTCTTTTTTAGCTTTTTACTAAATTATTAATAGATTTTATTATAAGCTTATCTTAATTAATTTAGAAAAAAAAGATAATTAATATAATTTTAGTAATTATAGACTATTTTTTAAAATAATATTTTTTCTTTCTAGTTTTAATTATAATAAATACTTTAGAATTAATTAAATTATTCTATTAAAATATTAAATTATAATTTAGACTATTAAATAATATTATATTTAATTAAAGATTAGTTTTTATAAATAGATTTTAATTAAAATTATATTATATATCCTAAATAAAACTAAGATATTCGATAGTATTTTATCTTTAGACTAATAATTAAATAAAAAGAATAAATTAAATATTTAAATACTATTTTTAGTATTTTATTAATAAATAATAAAAGATATAATCTATATTTTTATATATTATAGAATTCGCTTATAATAATACTATTAATATAATAATTAGAATATCGTCTTTTTAAGTTTTATTAGGATTTAATCTAAACTTCTAAATATATATTAAGGATAATAGTATTAAAAAGAAGATATTAATAGCTTTAATAAGAATTTAAAAGCTTATAAAATTTTATAAAAAGCTATAAAAAATATAGAGAATAATAATTAAAATATAAGTATTTTATTATAATAAATATTATAAAAAAATAATATTTAAAAAGAATAACCTAATAGTCTTATTAATAAAAAACCTATAATTAAAAAAAGATATTATAAAGAAGCTATTATCTCGATAAATTAGATCTTTTAAAATCCTTAAATATATTAGAAAATAGGCGTATTATCTTTTATTTTCTAATTAATATATAGCGATCTATAATATTTTCTTTATCTTCTTATTTTAGCTATAATATTAATAAAAAAGTAAATTAGAATAATTACTATTATTAGAACTAGTAGATAATAATAAATAAAAAATCGAAAAGATTAAGGATTATTATTAGTTTAAAAATAAATTATATTATTTAATAAAATAATATAATTAGCTATTAGAATATAATTAATAGATATTTAAAAATATAATAATAAATACGCTAAAAATTATATTAAAATATTAAAAAACTCTAAAAAAGAAGAAAATCTAAAAGTAATTATAGCTACTAAATTAAAACTAGAACTAGTCTATTATATTTATAAATCTAAAGAGAATATAGCTAGATATATCTTTAAAAATTATCTTATAATATTAAATATCTAAGAATTATCTTAAGTAATCTAGACTAATTCTTATATATCCTTTTAAAAGATAATTATTTTAATATATTAGCTATATACTAACTCTTTAGTTATATATAAATAAAGGTAATAATTAGTCTTATTTATAAGTTTCTTATATTTAGTAATAATAGTAGGAACGGATAATAAAGGAATTACTAATAAATTATAATCGGAAATCTATTAAGAATAAGTATTTTTAATAGCCTAAGAATAAATTAAAATAAAATCTTAAAAATATAAAAGAAAATACTTTATTTAAAATATATAGATACTAAAAAGAGAGTAAATATAATAATAAGACTTTATAAAATTATTAAAGCTTATAATAAGATACTAAATATATACTATAATATTAATAATTAACTTATAAGATAACTATAATATAATTATAGTATTTTAGTTATTAATATTAGGCTTAGCGTCTTTATTAAAATTATTATTAGAGTTTATCTAAAAATCTTAAATCTATAATAAGTATATCGAAAGTTTATAGTAGTTCTTTTTAATATCTTTAAAAATCTAAATAAGATTAATATAATTTAGTACCGAATTCTTATTAAAGTAGTCTAGAATATTTATTATTTTATAAGACTTATATAATTTATTATAATATTAATAATTCTTTTTATTATATATTTTAGCGAAGTAGTAGATAATAAAAAATTAAAAAGATACTAAATTAATATCTATTTACTTATATATAAAAATATATAGATATATTATATATTAGATATATTAGTATAAAATTAGAGAGTATAGTTTATATAATAAATAATAGATAAGAGATATAGTTATAATTAATCTATAAAATAATAATAAAAAAGTAGAGAAATATAAATCTAAAAAAGTAAGAAGATAGAGAGTTATAAAAAAAAAAAAAATTAAAGATTATTAATATAATAAGATTTAGATTAGATTTTATATAAAATAAAAAACTATAGATTAAATCTAAAAATATAAATTATATCTTTTATTTTTATCTATTATATATTAAAAACTAAAATCTAAAATAATATTAATATATAATCTTCTTATTTATAATTTAAAAAATAAAATAAAAAAAGAATCTATTAGATCTTTTATTAAATCTCTTAGAATAATATCTAATATTATAGGATTAAAGTATCTAATATATATATTTTAAATTATTATTAAAAGATTATATTTATTTTAAGTCTAAATAATAAAATTATTATTTTTTATCTAAAGATACTATCTTAATTTAATATAAAATTATTTCTATTATTTTTTTATTAAAAAAATAAAAAGGTATAAGATAGGATTTAGATATATTATATAGTAACTAATAAGATAGCTATAATATTAAAATAGATTATTAGTAAATTATTATTAAAGTATATAATTTTTAAAAATCTATTTTAATCTCTATAGAATCTTTTTAGTTTTTATTTAAAAATCTATAATTAAACTTATATACTTTATAAATAATATTAAAGTCTTTACTTAAATTAATAATCTTTTTATTTATCTTTTAAAAATATACTATATCTTATATATAATATTTATTTATAGATAATTAATATTAGATTATCTATTTTAGAATTATAATTAATTTAATATAATCTTTTTATATTCTTTTTAATAGAGATTTATATATTAACTTCTATTAATTATATTATTAATATTTTTTAGAGTTAGCTTTATATAAAAAATATTAAATAGAAAATAAAATCGTATTTATTCTAAGAGTAAAATAAATAATTATTAAATAAAGATAGTTTATATATTATATATTTTTTAGATAGATTCGATTTTTACGAATAATAGATATAATAAAATTAATACTAAATATCGAAGATAATTAGGAAATTAAGATTCTCTATTATAAATATATCTATAGCTATATAGCCTTAATATTATAAAGATATAGAAAAAACTAGATAAAGATTCGGAACTATTCTAATTATAGCTCCTTTATTATAGAGTATTACTAATATCTCCCCGATATTTTATAGCTATAATCTATTTTAGATATAGATATCTTTATAAGAGAAGGGGGAATAATTATAAAGGATAAAGATCCTTTTAAAGATAAAAATAGGAACTTAGGCGATATATATATTTATAGAAGTTTCTAATACGTATATAAATCGTACGGGGTTCGTTACCTAATCGGTATCGAACCTTAGTACGTATATTTCCTTTTAATCTTAGGTTCCCCCGGAACCCCCTGAATTCTAGCAAGAATTAGTCTTGGCACACATAGCCCAATACACCTTTGTTTCCTCCTCCTAAGCCAACGTATCTTACCCGGTTGATAGGCCTTACACCTGAAAACAGTATATTCTTACATTTAGAGACGTACGGAGTTAGTATAGCCTATTTTACGAAGGCTTTAAGTATTAAGGCTAACCCTATTATAGTAGATTAGCGGAACTCTAACCTAATAAAAAGTTATTATAAAAAAGGAAAAAGAAAAGTTTAATTTTATTAAGACGGACTATATTTATACTATATCTTTAATCTAGACGGTCGATAATCCCGTCTTTATCTATAGAATAATAAAAAAATTTCTTCTATTCGCTCTATAGCTTTATCTTTTTACTAGTATAAGGGTTAGAGTATTTATTCCTAGAAATTAATAATAGTATAAGAGAGGTCTTCGCTATAAGATATATCTAACCTAATTTATATATTTTATCTAGCTATTAATACCTAATAGTATATAGACCTCGTCTTATTTCGTTCTACTTCTTCTAACGAACTATAGAATATTAGGTAGCGAGTTAATAAATAGTAGTTTTAAAAAAAATAGAAACCTAGAGTATACTATATAAGTTAATAATCTCGTCTCTAATATATACTATTTTATTCTTCTATTCTATAAACGCTAACTTACCCTAGAGCTTTAGTATAAGTATTCGTGATTATAGTAGGCCTTAATTTACGTTAGGGCTGCTTCTTACTATTATTACTATTAGCTAAGGTATACTTTACGGAATTAATACCTTTAAAGATTTAGCCTATATAGAGTTATAAGTAGGAGAGGATAAAATTCCCCTAAGCTAGAGGTATAACGAAGCCGGTATTCCGGAACGTAACTATATAAGGGGCTTAGGATTTAACGTTAACGATAGAAAGATTCTATTACTTTCTTCGCTAAATCTTTAGGAAATTAAATTACTCTAAAGATCTAAAAATATATAATATCCGCCGAGCGCTTAGAAAAAAGGTCGATAGTATAGCCTTCTGATTGCCTATAATTCTTAGAATATAAACTTATATTTTATAGGGCGATACGGCTTAGTATTAGTTTTATAACTATATAGCTATAAAGACAAAAGCACCTATAAAACTAGCTATATAGCTTACTATTTGTCCCTCGATACTATCGCTTATATCCTCGACGAGGAGAAAGACGATCGCTATATCGAATACTTTTAAGGTTATAAGCAATTCCGTGAAAATGGTTTGCCTAGTCACCTACCCGCTAGGATCGAAGAATCTATCTTGGAAAGTGATGAGCTTGCTGAAATAAGAAGCCGCATTAGTTTGGCCGAGGCAATTGGCGACAAAGACCGGGGAAATTACGAGAGACTACAATATAGGAATACCTATATTCGCCTCCGCCTTGCAGCTCTTACAAAATATCGGACCTAATGGGTTCGCGACAGGAGAGACTGGAGCAAAAATCACCTGACGACCCAGAAAAGAATGCTTGCACGCGTGCCCTTGCACTTATTATGCCCGAAATTGGAAATCGGCTGAGTGTTTTTCATATATTAGTCGATAAAGCGAAACGGAAATTGCAACGGTATCTACAATTTAAAGTAGGAGAAGATGATCGTGCCTTGGTCATGGCCAAGGAAATGCTAACCGACAATAACCCGGTTGGTAAGCAAGTATGACTTGCATCGTCTAACAGAATGGTACGTTTACTAAGTCAATTCTACACTTACATCACACTTCTAACTCTACTAGATCGGAACTATAACCCACACGTACGATACCCTAAGCAATGTCAAACAATACCCTGCCGGTTACAATCACGACCTGTGTTTGATTTCAGGTCCTTCCCTTCCTAATGTCGTTAGCGCTGCTGGCTATCCGTTAGTAACGGGGTGGGCGAGCTATTCGGCGGCCTTAAATGGGCAGGATGTTTATGTCGTTGCTCAAAACACGAGCACTGGAGGCTTGAGGAAGTCTCACGGTGTCATCGACTCGAGTCTGTTCCACAGGGCATCCGTGCTTGGGACAGGTTACTCCTGGGACAAAATCCGAAAGGCATGCAACGTGTTTTTGCTGTGGCATACAGATGGTCAGATCGCCCCAGCGGATGGAACTTTGGGGGCCCCCTCTGTTTAGGTCGCCCGTCGGATACGACCGCCTTAGCAGTAGTGTTTCAGAATTTCCAGCAGTCCTGTCTCCTTGCCAATGTGACTGAGAACACGAATACCAGATGGCACACCAGATCCAAATGGAACAGGGAGTGGACTCTAATCAAAGCAGGGTTCATTCTCCCACCGGAGATCAGGGATTCGACAATTCTCAGCGGCGAAGTACTAAGCAGTACCATCCCATTCAATACCCTACCGGCGGGGAACCGAGGATCAATAGAACACGAGCATAAGCGACGTGTGTTTTCCTCGATTGAGTGAGTAGTCTAAGCCAGCACCCTCTTTTATATCTTTTACCGTTTAATGTCGAGGGACGAGAGAGGGCTTTGAGTGCGTATTTGACTTTGATAAAATCAATGTTATTGCTACAATTCTCAAGTTTCTGCTCCAAAATCTGACGGCCGTCAACTCTCGACGGGGATTAGAATTAGGTGCGACGCCTGCACGGGCCGGGGTCCGGGCTACAACATTTGAATATGAGTGCAACCCGTTACACTTTTACGGGTTGTGTCAAAGCCTGAACGGTACCGCAGAGGCGAGACTCGTTGGGTTGAATAGTGGTATAGGTACGGAACAGTAAATCCAATACATGTGGCCCACTGTGCATTTGTGTTGGGATCATGGCACATGACCTTGTTTGTCAGAACTGTCACAGGTCAATAACCAGATAGTCTCCTCTCCTCTCTCTTCTTCTTTTCCCCTTCTCATCATCCAGAGATTGATCAACCATCAGCAGTTAGCCTCAATTCCATTGCATTGCTGATCTCTTCTCTTCTCCTGACTCGCTGTCAATTTGTTTCCCAGCTTGAGCTGAAACGACCAGGATCGACCACTGTATTCATGACGCCAACCCTTCGCCATGGTTGAAACCGGGTATTATACCCCAATCATCATATAACTTCGAGTAACTGGTACCTACCAAGGTAGGTAGGTATTCCATATATTACTTTTAGTCATCATTACCGTACAGATTGTTGAAATACCAGGTTTTTCGTCTTTTGAGTTATGAGTCCTCAACATCGGTCATCCATGCCATACATTGTTCGTACCTAGGTACCACAGATTTCTGTCATAAGCACCCAATCGTGGGTAGACACTCTTTCTTTACCACGTGAGGTTGAATATATCTAATTATCTAATTAAACACCCACTGAATTGTGTGATGAATACTTCTTTTACACCTTTATTGCTTAAAGGTGTCTCGGGGCATCAAAACACCCACTAGACCGTATAAAGACTCGGGCTTCTATTTTCTACTTCGGCCTTCGGCCTCAAAACCGCGCTTGCCCTTTTTACACCTGTTACTCCCAGTACCTTACCCCTCAGATAGCCTGGGATTGTATCTGTATGTCTGTTCAGTCCTCATTCTCTACTCCAAGTTTTCTGTACTATCATGGCTGACGTATCAACCCAACCTCAGACGGCCATCCCAGTCGGAGCGAAAAGGAAGCGGCTCGCCTCCCCTGTGACGATACCATCTCGACGGTTAAGAATGGACGAGCCGGCATTCCTACGCGAGTTCGCAGAGAGGGTTGAGGAGATTCTGAGATCGCCTGATTCCCAAGATATTCTGAATGCGGTGAGAGCCCTAGCAGAGGGCAAGGAAGCAAGATTGCAGGATAGCACTACCGTTGAACAACTGCCTGGCCCCAGCTCCTATCCCCCCGGCCTGGATCCCCATCCGTCTTACACACAAACAATGACTACGCTACTCAAGTGGGGCGTTCGCACATTTCACGACCGCCCATCTACACCGAGTCTTTGGACATCGATGGCTATTCTTGATGGCCCAAAGGGGTATAACCAGCGGTATGTCAATGCCACCTTATTCTAGATCGCGAATGCTAACTACTCCCCTAGATTAATTAGCGATGGGTTCTACATTGAAGGGAGTATCCGCGTTGAATATGCTGAGCCTCGAGAGGCGGAGTTACTCTTCCCAGTTTTGCCGAAGCCAACGATTCTCGTGCCATCTCAACTACAACCAGTTCAGCCTTTTGATGAAGATCTCCCATACATGTGGCAGCAATACTGCAAGGGCCGTAGTGGCTACTCGTTGCAAGTTTGGCTGGCCCCGGCTATCGATAGATTGCATCTATCTTTATGTTGATGATGACGATACAACAAGCCTTGATGCTTTCCTTGCCTCCGAAAAAGTGCCTGTTGTTGTTACGAAGGCACAATTTTCCCACACAATGGATGATGTCCCCAAGGCGCAGCAATTCCTGGAACCACCGGGGCTAAACAAGTTGGAACTCAGCGAAAGACGGTGCCTGCTTCGAAAAAATCCCCTACCACGTGCCGTACAAGAGCATGGTCATATTTCTCATGGTCAGTCCGTCTCTCTTATGGACCAGGAATCAAAAGGCTCGGTGGGCGTGTTTTTATCACCTTCCGGTGTTGAACAGAAGATATATGCCCTAACTGCGTATCCTGTTCTGCCATTCAAGACATCCAACGAATCGCTTGTGAAAACACCGGCACGACTCGACCTCCTCAGTCAACTCCTTGCCGCTATCGAGAATGCAGATCATGACCGTGTTGGTGGATTGCTACGAGGATGGGATGAGTCATGTGGACAAGTGGAGTATGGCCATATCGGTACAACAATCAATGGGTGGAAGAGTGACTTTGCGTTGTTCTCTCTTAACGACAAGTGGACCGGGGCAAATGGTCAGTGGTATAAGCCTCGAGAACTGGCCGACCTCGTCATGGAAACCGAAAAACATCAGTCAAAATTCCTTGGAACGCATGGCCTCGTTGGCAACCTCGATCCACAAGCCGGACAGATCTGTTACAAGGATGGTGCAGCAACAGGTCGTACAACGGGAACGATTGGTCAGACTGAAGCCCTGGTGTATTTAAAAGAAACGGCAGACATTGCTCCCCCAGGAACTTCAGACTCAATTCAGACTCACTTCAGATTCACTTCAGACTCAATTCAGGGTTTAAATTAGAAACATACTTTCTGCAACATGTTGAGAACTCCGTCGACAGTCGTCGTCCACGAGCCCTCTACGACCCACTCATCCACTCCGCCAACCCCTCCATGCCCTCAAAGTCCTAACCTGAACAAGCTTCCAGGGGACATCTAGGCCTTGATTTTTCTCGTGGCAGCCTCATGGGCGACATAGCTTGGTTCGTTTACTTCAAATGGGTATGGTATACTGCGTCCCGGCGTCATGATATCTCCACACTCTCCTAGGCACCCTTTAAGTTACGTTACTTACCATGGGGATTCGGGGATGATGGTTCGCTTATTTGTCGGCCACTTGACGGGAGGGGCCGCATTTATAGATGTCGCTAAGAGTCTTCCCAATTGCAAACTAAAACTGTACGAGCTCGCAGCAACCAATAACGAAGCATCTCCGGGAATAAGAGAAATATTCTTCACTCCAATTAAGCATGTCGTGGTGTACCTGCTGTATTGCTGTATAATGAATTAAGAGAAATGACCGTGTGGTCTTATGGCGAATGCTAGAAGACGGAATCATGCAACCTCCAGAACCGCAGTTTCCAGGCTTGGGTATATTACCCCGCACCTCTATAACCTACCCAGGTACTAGTTGAAGAGTTGAAGCTTGCTCTTTTCTTTCCGAGGCATATAAAAAAGCTAGTGCTATTGGGTTTAGTCTCCTCAACTCCAGCAGAGACAATCAAGTAGTTTCATCTATGGCGCTCCCACTTCACATTCCGCCTTGTATTCACACACTCGCCGGCCGGTATCACCTCCCACCGTCTGATCAGCCCCTCAGAATCCAAATTGAAGGTCCGCTGGTCGCCATACAAAGGCTCCTGCCACATATCTCATGGAATCTACGTTTTCAAGACCGAAAATTCCCACAGCTAGCAGGCCCGGAGCTAGCGCGGTTAACGTATCAAACCATATATAGATGGGATGTTCCTCCGGAAGTCCCGGGTGATCTAGTGGTCCAAGATGAGTATATGGGTTAGATGCCAGAGAAGCATCCGGAGGAGTAAGTTTATCAATCTCTCCTAGTAGAAGCAAGTAGCTATGATATACTGATGGCTAATCACTGCTCTCCTTTAATCTGAGTAGGCTGATTGACTATTATAGTGTAACATTTGACCATCTCGTCCTAACTGATGATATCAATCCTGAGGTCTTACAGATTAACATCATTGAAATTGAGGACGACAATGGTGTTTATGCAAATACATGGCTTTCATTTACAGTAGATCCGGCTGAGTTTATTGGGAAGAAGGTGCTAGCAGTGCCGAGATGTTGCCAGAAGAGGAAGGGAACATAGGATCGCTGGCGAGTGAATGCCCTTGTGGACCAGAGGATTCATGGGTTGGAATATTTGAAGGACGCTAAAGAATGGGCAAGTCTCACAGAAGATCAAAATGCAAAAATTGAGAACTTGAATTGATACTTGCCAAGACCCATGATGCCTCAAGTAAACGACATGATCGGCACGAAATGACCCATGACTGTATGGTGGACTTAGGATGAGACTAGGCTTCCGCAAAGCCCATTTTTGTATACCGGTGTTGAATGTGTCTCTACCGATTGGTGGGTTATTCCGCTATAGTTCTTAGTGAAGGGCCAATATCATATGGAAAGCTGGTTTATCGACACTAATCTACTAGACGTTTATACGATCATTCTAACATCAAATGGTTGGACTGACGAAATAGTTAGCTTCGTATGCTTTTGGATCTTCGACGAATTCACGTTCTTCCGTATCTAAAAGGGGGAATATCGTCTTCTTTTGATGAATAATCATAGTTCACATTTAACCTACAAGTTCATTAAATTTTGCTGGAAAAAACGAATCATTCCTTATTGTTTTATACCACATACGACACACAGTTGCCAACCGCTTGATGATACGCCTTTTCAAGCCCTTAAGCATTATTATAAACAGCATAATAATAATGATGTTTTCTGGGGTAGTGATCCGAAATATAACGCCGAATCTCCCGCCGGGATCTACGAAACCCGTTTGCAATCATTAATACTTAATTTTACTCAGTGAGCAAAAAGCGGCAAAGGGTGAGCACTAATACGGAAAGGGAAAGCCATGTCGAGCCTAAAATCCGGTGTATATGTAGTAGGACCTCCGAAGTATTAGGCGGCATTTCGGTACCTTCATATACCGTCTTTTATATAGAGGTACAAAATTCCGCCCAACACTTCGGAGGTCCCTCTGTACTAGCTATATATAGCTAGTAATACTTGGGGTAACAGATTATATGACATTCTGAGAATATCAAACAATAACCATGCTTGGTGACCCTGGTTCCTTCGTACTACCCTCTCTACAATGCAGGTGTTGTTTATGATTGTTCAACTTATATGTCATGTATATTGTAAACTAACACGAAAAAAGTAATTATCGACACATTCAATGAATTCCCATTATAAGGAACTACAGAATATACGTCAGCCACTCATCAAAAATCCCTGAATTTCCTCTCCTAGTCGCTTGGCGTGTTCGCTTTGCATCATAGAGAAATGATTAGCCCCATAAATCCGGGACAATGCTATATTCGTCATAGGCAAGAGAGAGTCCCAACCTGCCGGGCCGAAATCCTCTCTTTCCATCGTAAGAAATTTCAAACCTTCCGGATCATCGGTTCTTGCTTCAAACTTTGGCTCAAGATGTTTGTCGATGGCGTCACAGGCCCAGATGATTTGCGTTTTCGGAGCATCAATACTAGGTACGAATGGGGTGGCATGGTAGTTATGAAGGCTGTTGATACAGGCTTCAAAGTGTGGAATGAGCCATTTGGGCACTTCCTTCTTCACCCCGTTGACATTGCCGAGCAACCCAATCTGGTCGCAATATTCGAAGTATCGACGTGGTAGGTAATCAAGACCTCTAGGGACGGGACAGTCAATGAGAATCAAATCGGTAACAGTCTCGCCGACGGAAGTAAGTTGCTGGGCGACATGATATGCGAAGATACCACCGACGGACCATCCACCTAGGGCATAAGGGCCATGAGGCTGACGTTTGCGAATCTCGCGGACGTACAGCTCAGAGACCACCTCAATGTCGCAATTGTAGAGCTCAGGGGCTTTCATAAAGGGGCAGTTTACTCCGACGACGGCTACCGAGGGATGGATCCGCGGAATAGCTGCATAGGATGAGCATGAACCGGAACCATCAGGTAGCAGAAAGAGAGACTTGGCCGTTGATGACAGGGCGGGATTCCCTTGGAGCAGAAGAGAAGTCGCGGACAATACTGGTGGAGACTGTTGGCCACGCTCCGGGGTTGTCGCAGCAGAAGCCTCTTTGGCCGAGCAAGAGTCGCTCTTCACAGATAATTCTTCACAGCTCGGAGTATCCGATTCTGACTCCACGGTGTCGATAAACATCGAGTTTAAGATTGCATCATTGCCACCAAGAGATTTGTTTCCATCAGAAGACCCTGCATGTGAATCCTGCTTCCAGAATTTTTCGAGTGCTCCCATGGTTGGATAGTCCATGAAGATTGATGATTCATGAGCTAGTCCAAGCTCTTCTCGGAATCTGCTCGCACAAAGCAGTGAAAGAAGCGAATCAAGGCCTAGGTCTGCAAATCCAGCCCCTGGACCGAGTTCTGCGATGGGGACGCCGCTCTCTTCAGAGATAATTTGGAGAGCCGCTGACCAAGAATCTGTCTGATCCCCATCATGAGCGGCAATCGAGGCGCTAATATTAGAATTGACAGTTCCGGTGGGCGCAGTATTTAAATAGGAAGACGATTGAGTTCGGGTATGCAAAGTTCCCCCGGCTGGACTGCCTGTCTTGGTGTCATCGCGCATGTGGACAATATAGTCCATGAGTCTCCGAGGAACACCTTGAGCCTTGACTCCCTTGTAACGCGCAACCAATTCCTTGTTTTTAAAGACGAATACACTGCCATGATACATACCATCGTTACTGGGACCTGTCATTTGAACATAGGCTTGGTAGGTAGCAGTCATTGGCATTGGTTTATAGAAGTGCAAAGACGACCATCCGTGGTTGACAAAGACCTCCTTGGTGAGATCAGCCTCATCGTTCGCGTTCATTATAAAGAGAGCAGGTTGTCCAAGATTGTCGATCAGGTGCGGATTGACGTAGTAAGTCCCGTTCGGGCTGTGAGTGTTCCCAAATTGGACAGTTGCCACAGCTTCGCGATTGCGGCTGTCCAGCAAGACGGATGACACTCCCATGAACTGGGAATCATACTGTGCGAGGGACGATACCAATTGGTAGCCCGTCTTCCCAGTAAGCTTCTGAACTCCCTCGTCGGTGTGAAGCCTATCAGAGACCGACTTCATTCGCTCCAGTACAGGCGCGGCCTGGTGTTGGGCCTCTGTATGTGCTTGCATTGCATTGGGGAAAGTCATGCCGGCTTCGGCGTGCTTGGTAATTTTCCTTCCCTCAGGAGTCACGCTCCAGAATTCCACCGCTGCCTTGAATGTCTTGCGATTAAGCGAAACATGGCAGCGAAGCAACTGCGGACCTGTACCCTTTGTCTTTGTGACAAAAGGTCGCTGAACATCCATATGCTGAAGATCCACCAGACTTGCCTCCAGCTCCGGTTGCTGCTTGCGAAGATAGTCACCAATAACCAGAGCCATTTCAGCATAAATGGATGGTGTCACCAGAGGAACATTGTTAACGCAATGTCCACGGACAAAGCAATCCATATCTTCGCGGAGAACATCTGTCTCACCGACAACGACCACGTCGTTACCGTCATCTTTCTCCTCCACCAATTTGTGAACACATGTTGTCGATAGCCCTTGAGCGGCTGGAAGGTATCGGGGTTCACCCTTGTGGAGAGTCCAATCATTGGCGTACTGTATCCAGTAGTTCTTTAAGTCCCAGTTGTACGACGGAAGGCGGAGGACAGAGACAGCGTGGGCAAAATCACGATGGTATTCACCCCAGCGGATGTCAATGCCAGACTCATATAGAGCAGCTAAGCTAGCCGATAAAATCTTCCATGTATCCTTGTTCCGCTGCAACGTCGGCAAAGTCGTCGTTTTGGGTCCGAGGTTGGTTCGAAGAAGTCCCGAAACAATTGGGTGGGCACCAATCTCAATCCAGATGGTGCTTTCCTTGATTGTACTCTTCATTGATTGATCAAGTCCAGCAGCAAAATTAACTGTCTCCCTACAGTGCAGGGCGAGGTACCCCGCTCCAAACGATTCCTTCGAAGTGAGGACCTCACCAAGCAAGGGGGAAATGACGGGAAACTTGGGTTCATTGAATTTCACCGCCTGTATGCTGGCTCGGAACATGTCGAGAATGGGCTGCATTTGGGATGAGTGGAAGGCAAATGGAACTTGGAGTTTTGTTTTTCTTAATCCAGCATTCTCAGGCGCATTCAGACATTGTAGCACCTGCTCAATCTGACCGGCTGTACCACTCAGGACAGTTTCAGAGGGCGAGTTAATGCAGGCAATTTCGTATTCAAGACCTTCGCAAATAATGTTGATGTTTTTGACGGAAGTGCTGACCGCTAACATGGCGTGTGTGTTGGACGGGATGTGGTCCTGTATCAACTGTGCTCTTGTACCGACCAGGAAAATGGTATCAGCTTCAGATAGCACACCCGCAATGTTCAAAGCAGCATATTCTCCGAGGCTGTGGCCAACCGCTGCGCTGGGCTGGACCCCCAAGACTGCCACAGCTTCGCCATAGCCATCTGTATGCATGTGGTTGCCACCTGGACAACCACTGGGGATAGTTGGGTGATGTCCCCCTCGGTCTGATGAACTAACGGCATAATTGAAGGGAATCCTAGTGCCTGTGAGAGGCCATCGAATCGATGCAGATCAGCGCAAAAATATCTAAAATGAAGCAAATCTCGTCCCATTCCAAGGTACTGCGATCCTTGTCCCGTGAACGCAAACGCTACAGGTTGCAGTGCCCGCACCTTGCGATGAACATTAGGCGACGTCAGTTTGCTTTCTAATGAGACGGAAATATCCTCCAGTTGCGACCCGGCCACCATGACACGGAAGGGATTGTGCATACGGCGAGCGGTTGTTGTGTAGGATAGGCTTGCGAGAGAGGGTTTCTTGTCTTTGAGATATGACAGAAGAGAGTTGATGTTCGCGAGAAGAGCAGTGCTGGACTTGGCACTTATCGCCACAAGATGCGTAGACCGGGGGTCAATGGTGGTCGAGGCCTGCTTATCCAAGAATATCGGGCTGTCTTCAATCAGCACAGAACTGTTACCACCTGCGGCTGAGAAATTGTTGATCATGACCCGTCGCACCCCTCCATCTGGGCGTGTCCAAGGAGTAGGGCTTTTGGCGATGTGGATGTTTCGCTGTTCCATATCGGTGGGGAACCCGCTATTGATCTGTTTGAAAAGTCAATTTACCTAAAATCGCGTTATATAGCGGGTTTAATGGGCATAGTTTGCTCACTTTCTTCTTGATTCCACAATGGGGAGGGATCTCATTTCTTTCCATCATCATAATAGATTTGATCAAGGCAATAACCCCAGATACTGATTCTCCGTGGCCAACATTTGCCTTCACCGAGCCTAGAAACAGCTTTTGCTCCTTGGTACGGGCTTTTGCCTCTGGCGGTGCAAAGACAGAGAGCACGGATTTCATCTCCCGTGCGTCACCTATGAGAGGACGATAAGCATAAGAATAAACTAAAAAGAAAGTAACCGAATATTAAAATACTCACCGGCCTGTGTTCCCGTTCCATGCATCTCAATGTAACTGACGCTGTACGGATCCACTGCAGCAGAACTGAGCACCTTCTCAAAGATAGCCTTTTGGGCCCCAATATGTGGACGGGTGATGCTCTCGGCCTCCGCAGAATGATTGGTATAAGCTCCGCGAATGATTGCGCAGATGGGATCATTGTCAGCTTTGGCATCTTCAAGTCGCTTGATGATCAAAGTGCAGACGCCTTCGCCTCTGCAATAGCCATCCGCATCGTCATCGAAAGTCTTGCAGTTTCCAGTTCTGGACAGGAAATGGCCGCGGTCCAGACCAGCCGAGATGTCTGTTTGGTTAACCTTTTAGTATAGATGGTTCGATTTGGACTCGTTTCCACCTACCAGGATTGGTCAACACATTTGTTCCCCCACAGAATGCGGTATCAATATCCCCCTTTAGCAAAGAGTTGCAAGCAAGGTGGAGACTAGCCAGGCTGGATGAACAAGCTGTGTCAATGCTGTAGCTGGGGCCACCAAATTTGTAGAAGAAATTCTGTCTTCCTGGGATGAAGGCGCGACAGGATCCCGGAATATAGCTAAGTAAGTAAGTTGTTAGCTTAGCTTTTTTCGATGACGAAAACAAAATCGAAGCAGGCATATTCTGATAGTCGGGAACATACTAGGTATCCACATCTTGGGAGCTATTAATCTCTCCCCAGTCATTGCTGGTTGTACCATAAAACACTCCGACCCTTTCGGACTGGGTTGAGGGTGTCGAATCTGGAACAAACCCAGCAGATTCCATTGCCTCATACGCAGTCATAAGCGACAGACGTTGAGCTGGGTCCATTTGGGGCGCCTCACGAGGACTAATCATGAAGAAGTTCGCATCGAATAAACCGGGTTGCTGTAACCAGCAGCCGTAAGGAGTGCCCATCGTGTTTTTCTTCTTCAAAGTAGGATCCACATGTGTTCGCACATCCCAGCGATTGCTGGGCGTGGTGCTTACAACGTCCCGGCCATCGTGCAGGAGCTCCCAAAATTCATCGTTGTCCTTCGCATCTGGGAATCGTCCAGAATATCCAATGATGGCTAATCTAGAATCGCCGAGCTTTCCTGTGACCCCGTCATCTGGAACAGTACTGCTAAAGCTCATCATTGGGTCCACCGTTACCTCAATCTGGCCCTGCTTTTGGATTCCGGAAGCAAGGCTTGGACCAATTAAGGTGGCAATCGGTAAAAGGCGACAACCTTGTTTCGCATTGCCAAGTGTTTGAGCCAGGGAAGCAACTATACGGTCCAAACGAAGTGGTTCTCGCAAGATTCCAGTGATCGAATTCTCAAGTGCCTCGCCAAAGTTAACGGCTGTGATCTCCTCGCCGTTAACACTCGAAATCATGTGGGAGTGACGTTCGAGTGAGGCAAATCTACTCTGTAGCGTCGGTCCCAGGATCATGTCAACATCTCGATTTTGATAGAGTGCGGGGGAATGGTATGGTGCGTAAATAGGGAGCTTGATAGACCTTTTCCCAGGAAGATACTTCGGACTAGTCAAGTCAAGCAGGATCTCTGGGGGCCCGCTCAATGTCAAGCTTGAATTGGCGTAAGTGCTGATGTAAACTGCAGACGTAGCTGGGAGGCCCTGTACAACCAAGCGTTAACAGCGATGATGCTGGCATTCGTCAAAATCTATATTAATTGACTATTTATCATACCTTCTCTTCATTGTAATGCTGCAAAGCCAACGTTGCAATATCAATCTCCAAGCCGGGGATCGAGGTGGCCCATGATGCAGCAGGGCCTTTCTCTAATTGAGGAGCGATCCTGTCAAGCACTTCTGAAACACAGAGACCTGTACGAAAGGCAACTAAGACTGTGTGTGCGGCAAGGGGAATGAGGTCTGTAACCGTTTTGCAGCAGCTCACAGCAGCTGCACTGAGCAGTCCAGTACAGAGACCCACTACCCAAGTGTTCTGGGGGTCAGGATACGATATCCCTGGGGCCGTCAAGTGACTGTTGGATTTTTTTCATCTCCGATTAGGACAGGTTCTCTTATAATGCTCATTGTACACAAAGATGGGCTATGTCCTAACTTACTTGATAAAACAAGCTAGCTGATAGGTAGATGCTAGTGCTGTATCTAGGGCCGGAGGGATGCATGGGAATCTCTGGGTCCCTGCGAGAAGCTCTTGGAAGGTGATAAACCTGGGAAATCTGGTACGTGCATGCACCGGAAGCGTTCCGATCTCCTCTCGTAGACTGAAGGTGACTCGTTCGAAGAATGTTGTGAGAAGGGGGTTGCTCTTGATGGCCACCAGAGAGGCTAGACCGCTCAAATAGTCGCATGTAAGATCTCCGAAGACAATAACTTGGTTCTGTTCCGGCATGATTGATGATTTCTACTGTACTGTTTGTCTTTCCCGATGCATGGGAGACTGACTCCAGTGACTCTTTTATAGCTTCCAAGTTCACTCATAAAATTACATTTTCCTATTCAAAGTCCGGATTGTTGGACTCGGTGACCCGGGGGCCAAAATGATAAGATTCCTTCTCCTTGGCGCGGATACCTCGGCATGGCCCCGAGCCAGGTCTCTGAACACCTCGGGGGATTATAACATTACGCATATTTCTATCCATGGGAATTTGTACCAAACATTAAACACTTGACATCTCGAATTCCTTACTAATTCGTCGTGACTCCCCAACATCGCGCGTACCCTAGGACTCGGAGACCTGCTCGCCGTTTCATCATTCAGTTGGCAGTGCCAGGTTGATGATCACCAGTGTCATTTGCAATCTGGATATATAAGAGCCCGATAATTTTACAAGCTTGGATCGAACACTTTATAATTCACCTTTCAAAAACATGGCAACTACTATTGCGGGTCTGTTGGAGCGAAACAAGTATGTTCCGACTCTTTTGGCTTTTGCCATTGGGTTTAAACCAAGTTAAATGTTATACAGAGCTGTCAATCATACACCTCTCCCTTCTATCGCAGAGAGAAAGGGACATGGTGGAGCTCCACCTCGCACTGTGATCGGTAAGCATAACCTAGGGCTGCCATTATCGAAATTTATTGACATCTATTTCCATGCTAGTTACCTGTTGTGACCCCCGATGCGTTCCCGAGAATTTTTTTAATCTAAAAGCAGGAGGTACGTGAAATCATTCAGGCCAAAGGAGCAACCGAAAGGCAGTTCATTCACATATTTCCAGAAGTTGTTGTCCACCGGAATGCTGGAGGAAACATCCGCCATGCCCTCCGAGATATCCTAATTCTGGATGCACTAGTCAAGCTTGAAGAAATTGCCATTGTCCACCATACCGACTGCGGCACTCTGCGCTTTACGGACGAGCAGCTCCGAACTGCCTTGAAGAAACAAACCAATGAGACACACTGGGCCAAGATTGAGGCGATGGAATTTGGCGCGGCTTCGGGGTAAGCTGATCTCTTTGGCCCTTTTGGGTAAGCCATTTTGAGTAAAAAGTAAAGATGGGCTGACATAGATTGGGAACACTCCAGGATTGAAGAGAATCTGAAAGGAGACCTTGAGTGGGTTCACGGAAACCCCCTGCTGAGGGAGGCGCTAAAGGAAGGTACTCAGGGCTTCATCTTTGACCTTAAGAGTGGAAAGGTGGAGAAAGTCGTACTTTAGTTTGTCAATGTACCAAGCACTATTGCCGGTCAAATTCTTGAGGCCTTTGTGAATAACAAAGGTGAAACAAATGAATAAAACAGAGTACGGCGAATGACAACTGTTCTAAGCCCGAGACAAAAGAGATACATCCTAGATATCCCTCACATTAGGGAATACTATCTCTTGACACTTTGATTTATTGGCTACTTGAAAGAACGAAAAAATAATATGCAAGGGTCTCAGTGGTGTGTGGTATAGATAGGAAGAAGGGAATAGAGGAAAGGTTAAGCTCCTCCGGAGTGGTCAGTGATCACATACCCGAACTCCAACACTATCTTACAGATCCTTGTTTAATTTGGTGAGGAACAGGTCCAACAGATTCAGGTGATGAGTATTCTATTAGATCCTGGTGCTTCTCGGGGCCTGAGCTAGAGGTCTCAGTTAATCTTGGAAGTCTGAAGTGGCCGTTCGGTCGTTCGGTCGTTCGGCTGTTGAACGAACTGCCGCACGGGAGTATATTTCTTAGACTTCCACATCCACCCAGAGCATTCATCAAAACCATTTGTCCCTAAATATTACCCAAACTAAGGCCTCAGTTGGAAATCACCAGATTCAAAAGAAATTCAAACCAGAAAAAGAGGCTGCTTCGTTATCGCCTGGAATTATCCTACGGAAATACAAAATGTCGACGGATGGTACCCTTACAGAAACACATGATGCCTTCCAGATAAATGCTACAAATAGCCCAGACTCGGAAAAAAAAATTCAAAGAGAAGTTATCCCGGAATGGAAAAAGAGTAAGGCCCCTGATGGTGGACTGGCTGCTTGGTCTGTGGTCCTAGGATCATGGTGTGTGCTATTCTGCACCTTTGGATGGATCAACAGTACGAACAAACCCCTACCACTGAGAAGTTCAAATGCCCTTTGTACCATATTGACAAAGACAGGTGTTGGAGTTTTCCAGAATTACTACAAGTCGACTCTACTGAGCCAGTATTCGGCTAGCACAATTGCTTGGATTCCATCCTTGCAGATATTCTTCATGTACGCCATGGTAGGGTATTCCGATGCATTATCCTCCCTTGTACTCAGTTTGCTAATCTATTCATTCTCAACTAGGGCCCTGTGTCCGGACATTTGTACGACAACTATGGACCCCGTTATTCAGTCCTATTCGGATCGCTTCTTCACGTTTTCGGTCTGATGATGTGTTCTATCTCGACGAAATACTATCAAATATTGCTCTCACAAGGTGTATGTAGCGCTATTGGGGTCTCAATCATCTTCCAACCCGGTAAGCAAGAGCTTCCAGTGGTATGTCGACTCAAATGATAGTAGCTGATACTTGCCGACTATTCTAGCGACCAGTGTCATTCCAGGTTGGTTTGACAAGAAACGTGGCACAGCTTACGGCCTAATGTCCACCGGGTCTAGTGTTGGGGGCGTAATCTTTCCAATCATGATACAACGGTTGATTCTGGAAGTGGGATTTGCGTGGGCGATGCGTGCTGGAGCTTTTGTGATCTTGTTTCTGCTTACCATCGCTAACTTGACAATCCAATCCCGTTTACCTCCGTCACCACGACCTGTGTCACGGGCTGTGTTAACACAACCATTGAAAGAGACGAAGATGCTGCTTGTTATCGCAGGGTTTACTCTGCTGACCTTTGGAGTTTATATCCCCATTGATTACCTGGTCGTTGAGGGACTCGCGAGTGGCATCAGTACCAACCTTTCTCAGTACTTGCTGGCGATACTGAATGCTGGAAGGTACGCGTGAAACTAGCTCTGTTCCCCCCCGGTTGATATTCACTAAATCGTGTTACTGAAGCTTCTTTGGCCGCCTTGGAGCTGGCATGATGGCTGACCGAATTGGGACATACAATGTGTTCGCCGTGGTATGCTATCTAGCTGGAATATTTATTCTTGCCATTTGGATCCCTGCCACCAGCGCCGCGGGGACTATTGTATTCGCCGTTCTTTTTGGATGTTGCTCAGGCGCATATGTCTCGCTAGCAGCAGCGCTTGTGGTCAAGATATCACCCTTGCCGCAGATCGGGTACCGAGTAGGCTTGATTTTCCTCTTCGCTTCCATAGGCGGATTAACGACCAATCCTATTGCTGGTGCTATTCTATCTCATGACAACGGGTCCTATCTTGGAATGAAAGTGTTTGCTGGAGTTCTTCTGCTGGCTGGGACAACCTGTGTTTTCGGGACTCGATTGCTGCACACCGGATTCAAATTGGTTGCGAAATTCTGAGTTGATTTGGCCAGGTTGATGCCATGTATAGTGACAGAAATCTCGTGTACAGCAAGGTATGGTATAGATGACAGATGTGTATGACTCTAACTAACTAAAATGACAGAAATCTACTATGTGACAATTTGTGCGGACATCAATGGCTAAGCTCAACACAAGTTTTTTGCATGGGCCCGCATCTAAAGCGGTCTATGTCTATGTATTTTCCGAGGTGTTGTTGAATACTCGGTTCCCAGCCATAAGATAAACCTATAGGCTTAATTAACATAATATATATAACTATGGATGCCGACTCTAGATAGCAAGTACGAAAGAACAGATTAAGACCCGGTCTCTAATTATTTAAATGAAAATCCATACTATATACTTATCAAGAAGGCAATACTATGTAACTCTGCTATAATTTCACATCCTTGGCCCGTAAGTGCAAAGTTATACAGCGGCCAAAATTCAGAAACCTGATTTTTAGCGTTTCTGCCTAGTTATACCTAGGGGTTCCAATCTGGAAAGCAGATCGAATCTAAATTCCAATCCATAGCATCTTCGAACCCCAGAATGCTGCTAGGGATCGCTTCCCCCGAAGATCACCCCCCCGAGGTCCTGTGATTTCGGCAACCGTTAAATTGGTTGGGATGTGCGCGGAAGTGAATGGACTCGAGAAAGAACATCGTATGTTGAGTGCTTTTTCTCGGAGCTTTCGTAATACGTTCCATTTCAGACCAGGACTCGGCCAGCTGGGATCCTCCACCAAATTGAACGACTTGTCGACCACCTGCCACGCTCGATCAGCGCAGTGGACTTCAGGCCGAACACAAAGATGCCACAGTGCATATGTCAAGAGATGATATTGCGTAAACGTCGAGAAGAGCCAATGGAAGTTACTCAGAAGTTCATCCGTTTTTAGTTCGTTGCCAATCTCAATCGTGTCACACGCCAGCAAAAGCGTCTGTTCAGTGGCTCGTGATGCTGACTCCTCCGCACTGAGTCCTCGAAGGTATTGCTGGCGAACGAAGATACTGAGCTTTCCCATAAGTACCTGGCCCAATAATAGTGCTGATTTTTGAATGGGAATGTTAGGATCACAATGCTGCAAATAGCGATCTTTTATGCGTGCCGTGATGGTTCTTAAAAGCTGCTCTAAGCTAGTCATTTTGTCATCCCCATTGAGCACAGCCACGGAAAGTCGAGAAACTTGTTGAAGTGCTTGATTCATCTCGGCAGCGACCAGGAACATGGTCATCTCTGTCCACTGTGGCTTTGAAGTCGGGGCCGCTTCCATGTTGGGTGAAATATCACGGTCGTCTATGTTGAGGGGAAGCTTCGTATTAGAGAAGCCACCAAACCCATTAGTCGAGAGAGCATGGTCTTCAGCAACTCGCGCATCGCATCCAATAATCTGATACCATAACCGACGACGAATCTCGCATTCTAGTGGTGGGAGATCAAAACGTTCTCCATCGCGGTGTAGGCCCATCCATTGTGCTGTTCGGAGAAGTATACCGTTCAACGTCCATCCAGATCTACCACAATTGTGATTCCGATAACAAAGCTGACACCGAGTAGTTAGCACTCATACCAAATGCGAGCCAAGTGCTCTCAAGGGGGCGGCTAGATTTACCAAATAAATCGATATTGCTTGCAGCGAGACAATGGTGGGGGAATCCAGGAATGCAGCCGAATGCAAAGAGACCTCCAAGCCTCGTTGAAATCTTTTGAGAACAGACTGCCGGTCCTCGCCAAAGATCATATGAGAGTCTGCCTGGCGCAGGCTTGTAACTGCAGCAAAGTAAATGGAGAACAGAAGAGCATTGAGGTCTTTCGAAGCAGCTTTCGGGTTATTGATGGCAGCAAATACAGCAGGTTGCGTTGTCGGGATGTGAAGTACTTTGAGAAGAACGTCCACGTTGTTCAAGAAGACTTGCCAGAGGTGTGTTGCTTGCCCTCGAGATGGGAAGAGAGAAATTGCGTCGGCAGCCAACTGGGGGTTGGAGATGAGGCCATCAAAGCCAATAATTGGGCTCGCCTCACTGTTGTTAGTGCTTGCTGGTGTGTCAATGGCGGATTGAAGCTCGCTCTCCTGCTTGCAGTAATTGTAAGTCCATGTTTCTGGTGAGTAATTGATGTTGTGGTCCGCTGACCTTCTCCAGGACGCGTGAGAAGAGCAACTCGTTAACGTATCGGGTAGATGTGCCATCTTTCACCAAAAAGCCTTCTGTCAGCGCAGTATGATCGCCGGCTGAAACCGAGGTATTGATATCTGTACCACGCGGTTGTGACGAGAGAGAGGATGATCTGCTAGTTATATCGGGGGATTCTCTATTGTTGATCGCAGTGATAGCTCGTTCCGGCATCCCCGGGCGGGTTCTCCCGGTAGATGAATTTTTCGAGCGACGTTTAGTTCGTCCTGGGCCTGGATATTGGCAAGGAACATTTATTCGAAGGCAGGTTGAACAGGGCATGGCCCGGTCACAACGAACCTTGCGCTCATGGCAGCGCAGACATGATCGCTCCACGTCATAGCGCCTTGCAACGAGTTGCTGGGGCGATCGGTCGCCAGTTTGCTGTGCTGACCGCTCCATGATCGAACAAATTAGTTGATCGGGGTGTCTTTTGGCAAAGTGTTTCAGTGTCGGGAATTCGATGTGCCCAGCTATTCAATGACCGAAACGGCGGTGCATGTATCGACGATCAAGAATCCGGCCCCAAAGCCAACGAAACACGTGATAAAAGGCCGATTGGACAAATATTGCAATTCCTTGAGTGGAAAAGTACCAAGGAATTATCTGCGTAGAAATTCTAAGGCAATGCTCAACCCATGTGGCGCTGGCTATATCCTGATTAAGCCGAACTACCGAACTACCGAACAATCAAGTGGGCCATGTATCATGACCTGCAATCCTCCGGCAGCTCGTTAGAAACCACTTCGAGATCACCGTTCCAACCCGTCAGGGTAGCAACCATCCATTCCCGCCAGCGGCACCGGTTTGTCGTGCAGACTACAACTCCCCAACCTCGCTTGTATCCGCCCTCCGAGGGTAAGATGCGGTTGTTTCCCTCTTGCCCGCCCTTTCTCTTGACCAGCAGCGCAAGCTCCTCGAAGCCGTAGCTGCTGTAGGGGGGGTTGTCGTACCCACCAGTCCCCCGAGACCCCTGGGCCCCGAGGTATTCGACCCAATTCCCGAATAATCCCTGCAACCACCTCGGTCGCTCCTCTGGATCAATTGCCGTTCGATTTCGTACTGCACAAACGTAGGGCTTGACCTCTTACTCTGTTCCTCTGCGTAGACCCGTGGAGTAAGGTTTCCAGGTCCTTGCGCTTTAAATTATATTTGATGGAACTCCCTCCCATTGCGTAGGCTTTCGAACAACCAGGACTTGCGTCTAGCACTGCGAACGGAGTTATTTCATTACATTCCACGCTTCTTTCAATCTTTATTTTCTCTTCACCTTAAATATGACGGCGACTAAACGCTCAGAATACACGGTATCACTCTCCCGGAATTGTATTTCCAATATCAACATATAAATTGACGAATGATCAAAACCAGCGCGAAGAGGGCAGCGAAGTGAAACTCCTGCACTTTATTTTTGGACAACCCAACATCGATCAGATCCGCGGTCATCCCGACAAAGTCCTGAATCTCATTGAAGAATTCGGCCAGCAATATTGGTTCGCCAATGTCGGCCATCCCAAAGGCGATATCGTCGTCAGCCTCATCGAAGAACTTCGACCTCGAAAGATGATTGAGCTCGGGGGCTACGTGGGCTATTCCGCCATCCTCTTCGGGGATGCCGTGCGCCGTCACGGGGGACAGCGATACATCAGTCTCGAGTTGAACCCTGAATTTGCTGCTGTAGCTAATATGCTCATTGAGCTGGCCGGCTTGCGGGATTTTGTGCACACGATCGTTGGCCGTAGCGATGAGTCGCTGCAAAAGCTCTACACGAGTGGAAAAGTCGAGCACGTGGAGCTCATGTTTATCGATCACTATAAGCCTGCCTACACTACCGATGTGCAACTTTGTGAAGAGCTAGGCATGATCTCGCCAGGCTCCGTCCTAGTTGCTGATAACGTGGTGTTCCCTGGGAACCCGCCTTATTTGAAGTATGTACGAAGTACTGTGGAAGAAAAGCGGGAAGTGGCACGATCTATGGAATCAGGAAGAACCTTCAACACGGAGGGATTTTCAGAGCGGACCATCTCCAAATATTTGGGCGCAGACTCTGCACCCAAGTTCGATGTGGTTGGAAATCCCAACTTGGTGTACCATAGTGTTCTGAACCAACCTGAAGGAGACCCGGTATGATTGTCTTTCATGCTTTGTGTTCTCCATATTTTCCTGTTTTACTCACATGCGTCCATTCTTTAGGATGCCCTTGAGATCACCAAGTGCGTGAGAATTGAAGAAGTTGCTTAATGCGCACTGACCATGACGCGTTCACCTACTGCTGCTCTTTGTTAACGTTAACATTGCAAAATACATATCGTGATAAAATACATGAATCGCCGAGAAATAAACATGACGCATCTTTCAAGGCTTCTTTACAGCACTATGATTTTCTTACTTGGTTTCTTTAGGATTGTAACTAGATATAATGATATCCACAGGAAAATAGTACCTGTTGAATAATATACTAAAAAAAACAATATATTAAACAGCACTTAAAAATGAATCTTTCGCCAGATATAGAAATGTAATTGTAAAACTGTCTAATCTTCTTTATGCCTAGGGATGAAGCTATATTTATGGCTTTATTTCCACCCCTATATATTCTACCGGCTTCTCACTAACTAAGATACATCTATAATAAGAAGTAAGAGATGGAATAAAGAAGAAGCGCAAAGAGCGGTGTCAGTACTGAGTCAGTACTGAGTACTGGATTTTCTAAGATTCCATTGACTGAATATTGCCCGAATTGCAATGCTATCCTGCGATGCAGGATACTCGAGGGTGTATGGGAGAATGTGTGATAGAGGCGTCAAACTGCATCGACGCCGCTAATCCCGTTTCCATAGGAGTTCTGCAACACTCAAAATCAATTCGGGTTTAGCTTTGAAAACGACCCAGATGCATGTTAATTATGAAGAATTAACTTGGGTTTTCAAAATCTTATATAGTTATCTAGAAGACGGAAGGAGGCGTTCATACTAGACCTTCAATTCCCCCCGGGAAGCATCTCCTTCTTTTCCACATCCCTCTCTCCTCTAGACCCAAGGGTTTTTACCTTTACTGTCTTTTTCGTTCTACCTAGTTACGACAGCATATCTCCTACTCACTGTCAACGCCCCTTTACAGCGCGGTTTATCTACTTCTAGCGATTGTCTTAACATAGTATTCTTGTTCTCGAAAGCTTCGTCCCTGTTCCGCAAGCCAAACTTTCCAAACATCTTAAAAAAGGTTAATTGCAGAGAAATGAGGGATTCCCTCGAATCTAGGCACGTCTAGTCAATCCGACACGCATGGCTGAAGTCATCTCCTCCAGGAACAGTTTCCACTTTCGCTTCCAAAACATCATATATAGGTATGTCTTGCAGAACCTTGACAATGTGATGTATGGTTGGGAGGCATTGCACATCACCGGGAGTGAAACTAAACGATCCCTGGTAGGCATGCCGCTTTTTTGGGTCATCAAGCAATTGAACCACTCGATTTGAAGCATCTTCAGCTTGATGATCTTCATTTCCTTCAGGCAGCGGTGACTTATTATAGGGCTCAAGCACAGCATACTCCGCATCAGCCATTCCAGGTTTCCCAACAGCCGGAACATAGCGATAAGTTAACAATCCCAAATCAGGGTTATGCTTAGCTGGAGCTTCCCGATAGAGTGCATCAGAACCATTCTCATCACTGATCTCGCTTCGATGCAACTGAGCCCAGCAAAGCCTCCCAAAGGCTGTACCACGCCATCTCAGTTCGACTGTATTGGAGCTGCCATCATCGACTGTCTCAATATCGCAGCCCAAGACAGGAGCGCCGAACTCATCGCGCCGAGAGACAATCGCATCGGCCAGGTTTTCAAACAAAATTGGAACGAATGTCCCAGGAACCACCTCTCCATTGGGAGAGTTGTATTGAGTCCCATGGATATACAGTCCGACACGGTCATATCCTGATCCACCTAGCCAAAACAAATTTTGGAACGAGGTGTGGATAAACGAGGCCTGTACCACTGTGTCAGGCAGAACAAATGAGAAAGACTCAGTCGGTAGAAGCCCTTCTAGATACGTCTTGGACGTGGCGAAACGAATAGACCGGACGATCTTCTGGGGTTGAGTACCAGGAAGTCCGCCAGTAATACTTCCATTGTCAGAATGGTAGGGTGTCGGCGATGGTCCAAATGAGATAGGCTGACGCCAATGCGATATCTTCTTGAAGGACTTCGCCTTTTGCAGAGCGTGACTGGAGTGATGAAATTCATCATGGCTGAAGCTGTAGTTGTCGAATTCGTGGGCTATGGCAGCATTTCAATGAGTGATGAACACGAAGTGGAGATTCGGCCTGAGCTGTATGTTTTGACTTACGAGAAAATCCCATTTTTCTTTGAACTTCCATCGGTTGACTGTTTATGCGAGAGGCTACCTGAATCCGCGTAGCTCGCTCTTTCCGGCACTTCTGATAGAGTGCAAGTCTCTCGGGAACTTCGTCCACAGTCGTACCGTATGGGAACAATACCCCGAGGGACACAGCATCTTCAATTGCTTGGGCGGCACCTTCTCCTCGGTGGGGTAGAAAAGGGTGGGCAGCGTCTCTTGAATGTTACTGGTTAGCAAAAAGAACAAAGAATATCTCGATTTTCAGCGGTTCTTTGCCTACCCAAGTAGAGCTAGTTTTCCATTAACCCATGTTGGTAATTCGGGCAAATCGAGCAGTGGCCAAATTCTGGTTTCATCCTCAGGGGCCTTTTCCAAGATTGCCTTGACTGGTAGTGCAAACTCGCTCGCAATAAGCAACATCAATTGCTTCTCTGAACCTTTTCCCTGTGCTGGAAGCTATTAGATTATGTAGATTGCCCGAAACAACAAAAGAATTATGAAAACGAAAAGGAAAACGGCCAAGTTTGTTTCTTCTGTCCGGCTTGTTTAATAAAGCCGACAAAATAAACACCGACATGACATACCTCGATGTGATTTGGATTCATGGGTTGGATGTAGATAGATACAATTTGTCGTCTTGTTACCTGCACAAGGATAGCACACGAGGCGTCTGACTCCGGTCCCCATAATTACAGTCAGACTACCATCAGACTTGATCATTGATCTTGTGAAAGGATCGTCCTGGAGAGTCTGGGTCGGGATAAGGAACCGAAAAGCGCTAATTCCACTATCAAAGGGGACATAGCCTGGTCCTCCCTCGAGGGCCTTGCGACATTGGGACTTTCTCTTATATCAGTCTTTTTCCTGTTCTTGATATAGATTGGTGGAAAAATGATACTGACATGAACCCCATCCGCTCCCAGAATCAAATCCCCAGACACTCGTTCGCCATTGGCAAGGACAACCTCGCTTTGATCCGGATCCACTGACGCAACTTTTCTTTCCAGTTGGAGAGTGCATGGCTTCCCAGGACCCTCGGTCGAAACCACCTTCTCCCACAAGGCGGTATGCAAGTGTGCCCGATGTACAAGGCGTCTCAGCTGTGATAATATCCTCCATGGTTAGGATGTTGTGTTCTTGTTTCTAACAAAATGACCAAGGACGAAAAAGACCACATCACTCACATGCTGCCATCTGCCACTCTCTGCATGGTAATCCAATGAGATGATCTTTTGGCCAACAGCACCATCCCAGATCGCGCACCCGGTGCATTCAATTGCGCCAATACGATCATCCTTCCCCAGGTCAATTCCTAGTCTTTTCAAGACACCATCGCAATAAGGCGGAATGTTGATGGCTGCTCCAACCTCGTTGCTGAAGCTCGATGACTCTAGAAGAGTAACTTGATGTCCTTGCTGTCTCAACGCCAGTGCTGCTGTCTATTTCCAAACAATTGTGGGATTATATGTCAGTTCCAGAATTCTTGGACATGCAAATGAGTAGAAGAAGGGAGGAGGAAATATACCAAGCCACCAATCCCGGCTCCCACGATGACTACTTTCAGCTGTGCCATGGTCGAGCTGTTGATCTCGGGATGATTCGCAGTCACTGTCATTTTCTGACTTCAATATGTGCCCGGATAATGTAGTTGTTTGTACGCAGGGCTCATAATATATACTGTAGAAACCTTGGACATTTTATATGCGATGGCGACTCTTTATCGGATAATCTTCAATCTGCACACCTTAGTTGAACCTTTGGCACCGTAGGGCCTATTTCGGTTCCCTCGGTAGAACTCTGTAGCCCAACCATCTGATCTCGGTCTTTCGGCCGTCCGGGGACAAGGAGGAGGGTTGGGGGCGAAATAGAGCGGCACGCACTGAAACCACCCTAGACCCAACCGAGGGGCCCGAAGCTAATTTCTGTATTCATATTCTTCCGGGGTTATTTGGTACATTCCCTATCATTCGCTGATGATATTTGATGGATAGGATTGTATTGGGCGAACTACATACATGTACGGAGTACTGAAAGATACTTATGGTGGCCGGATAGCTTGTTAACTATGTAGTTGATTGGTCGAAATCCAAGCACGAACCTTCTATATACCTATCCATATATGCATCAATCAATATGGCATCCCATTTCCAAGTGAAAATATTAGATGGGTGGCCTGGTGATACAATAATCCTTGATCAAGGTAATCAAAACATCCAAATCGGCCGAAAGGAACTGCTGAACAGCCGATGTTGGCAATGATTTTCTGTGAGAGCCCAATTCTTGTGATCCATCATATTGTGCATGGTAAAAGGGGCGTGCCTTCGCAAGATCAAACACCAAGCTCAGCTTTTGCACTTCACAAAGCAGAAACTGTGCCTTCATACGCTGCTCGGAAGAGAATTCCAGGGCAAGATCCCAAAATTGGATGGGAGTAGCAGAGCATGGCCTAAGAAAAGAGCCGAGAACTGAATGTGATGAATCTGCGCTTTGTGATGGGTACGGTTCCCGTGTAAAAGCGACAAACGCTGAATGATACCCGGCTATCACTTTGGAGAACATGGCCATAACCATGAAAAGTATGGTGGGGTCCCTAGTGCAGATTCCACTGCCACACCTCAAAATGCGTTCCAAGTGCTGCATAGTGACACGATTAACCTTCACAATGTGATGTCCGGGTGTGAGACCGGGGTTTATAGCGCTTTCTTGGCATTCAAACTCGCTACTGAACATATTCTGAAGTGCAGTAATGGCCATACTCGGGCATGAACACATAAGACCCTTTCCTGTAGATGAAGAGTCGGACACCTCGGATAGAGAAGTGTCTGATCCCCCAAGTGCCCTCAGATTGCTAGTGTCATCTGCTTGTATGTGGGTAGGTCCTGGTTGATCGATATCCATGCACTGTGCATACCAATCTTCCAGGGTATCGGTTTCATTGCCCCCAAGCAGGTCCTCTTTGTTAACCCCGGCCAACAACCCTGCATAATCAGGGACAACGTCGTGAATCTCGAGATTGCAAATCTCTGTGCTTTGTTCCGTGTGTTCCCTTGCCTGTTCCTGGTTTCTGGAGTGTATATCCGATGGAGTAGGGCCGGTATTTGCTTTGACCGTTTTGTTCGATAACGGTTGGTGTTGTGTAGACGATTTCCTCTTCCACCGATATGGACTATAGACACAGGTTGCTTGAATCGCTTCGCATCGTTCACATTGTGGTTTTCGTTTGTCGCATCGGACCTTGAGCATCATGCACCGATCGCAAGTCGATCGTAGTTTCGGTACTTCATTCTGCCACCTGACAGCTGATCGGCCATTATTGTCGGCCATTTGTGGATAAGAGGACTTGGCGGACAACGCAATAAGGAATATTCAACGAAGTTGATTTGATTTGCCAAGGAAAGTCAATCTGGGGATTTCCCCTTGGCTTGGTACAAATTCTAAAGAAACCCCCTCAAGCGCTGTAATCAACCCCTCTCCGTTCCGGCCCCCATATTTCTTCCAGATTATTCCCCTACAGATCGTGGTTCTTTTGTCTTCCGCAAATTACATAGCTTTCGTTTTTGATAAGCCCTGAAGACCACCTCGCCTATCAAGATAAATTATGATTATCTAACCTTATGAGAATTATTTTTACAGCATACTAGTTTCTCTGTTTAGTACTATGCTTATGAGGGGACATACTTAGGCACTTGTAGGTACCTACGTAGCTGGTAAGTTGATGCATGTGACGTTGCATCACTCAGTCGGGGATATCCGGAGAATTATCAACCCCTGCCAGTCCAAGGGTTCGTGCGCGAGAGAAGGCGCTCTGACGGGGGAGGATAAAGAAGGTAATAATGCGAGCTTTTTCTAGGTATCACAGGGTCAACTATGTTATGACCGGTGATTATAGTTGGAGGTAAAGAACGGGGCCAATTGTCATTGTTGAACTTGCAGCACCGATCTATTCAAGAATACCTTAATGAAAGTAAACGAAAGTTGGCTTATAAAAGGCATATAGTGTATTCCACACATTTTTGGATCCTACTGGACCTTTTTCTAGGTATGATATGTTCAAAGGCTAAGGAAACATCCTTTTCGATAGGGAAGGTGTAGCCCAATATTAAAATTCTTGAACTGCACTTGACTGATCTCAAAGAGGGACCTGCGGAGTAAAAGAAAACGCAAAGCTAGTCTCCTTACAAGGAACCTGGTATTTCTTCAGGGTAGCAGGGCCACACCGCGCAGTTCCCAATCCTGCGTGTGCAGCATCTAACCGAAGGAAGACGTCTTCCCTCTTCTTCAAGTCTGTCGGATGAGCCGCATTGGTGATATCTTCTGCAGTGTAATGCAGTGCCGCAAAGTCAAACTCATCCCCTGTCTTCGCGGCCTCATCTACTCGCGTCACCACGAAGCCAACACCCTGGCTGTTCGTGAGCTGAAGCCAGCGTGTGCCCGCGCGATTTCCATTCTCCTGTGGATACTCATAAGATGTGAAGAGACTATCTGGAGTCCGGCTATGTAAGCCGAGCTTTTTGGAGTTGCGCTTATCAGCATAGGATTCATCAGGTCCACAGCCAAACCAATTCACCGCTCCGAAATCGGAGGGTAGCTGCACATCAAGACCTATCTGAGGTAGTATGGTCGGCTGATAGCCGCCGGGACGAACATTGTGAGAAATTACAACTGTACCATCTCCATGAATTGTGTAGGCAATGGTGCTCGTAAATCCCCAGTCTCGGATGACAGCTCTGATGTAGGCCTCAACGGTAATATCGACACTGCTTGTATCTGGGTGCCGCAAAAAGACGGAGATCACCCGTTGTTGTAGGTTGTTGAGATAGTAGGCGCTCATCGACCGCCAAATTGATGACACCAGCCTTGAGGGGACAACAGTCAAGAGTGCTGGGTGAACGACTGCATTTGGATGGGGCTAGCGTGGTGCATTTTATTGAGGTGACCTGCTGACTTAGCTGCTCACCCACTTTGCTCAGGCTCTTGAGCTTATGTAATAATCAGGTCACGCTCAGTGAGTGGGATCAGGCTGCTTAGGTGACGCTCAGTGAGCGAGTCATCTAGCTTATGTAATAATCATGTGATGCTCAGTGAGCGGCCCCGGGGTTTAACGATTACGTAATACTCAGGGGCGTGCTCAGCTTTACTCAGTGAGCAAAAAGCGGCAAGGGGTGAGCACTAAAACGGAAAGGGAAATCCATCTCGCTCGGCCTAAAATCCGGTGTATAACTATGTGTGCCTAGTGTGCTATTCACGTATTGAAGTTCGTAGTAAGGCAGACTTTCAAGCATTCGAAGGGCACACGCTCCCTTGAAAGGCACCAAGCGGAGTATTTCTTGGATGGTTTTGGTTCTCCGGGGTCTCTCCTTATATACATAATCCATGCTATGTTGATGGACCTAGACAACACATGCTCAAAGGTCCGTAATGATACTCCGTACACATCCAAAACTTTATGGCGTACCACAGCAGGGCATGATGCCTTGCTATAGAACAATAAAATCTGAGCGTAACCTTTTGCTACATCAACTATTTTGCAGCTGCCAGGTACGCCGGGAGGGGTGTCTTCCGACCAGTCCGATCATAGCGCTAATCACGCCCAGGCACCAGCCCAAAGCGCATCCCCTGCTCAGCTTTTATCTTGTACGGAGTATAATATGGAGGAGTAAATAGTCCGAGAAACAAGAAAATTATTGCATACCTAAGGTATGTCAGGAACTGGAATGTCGTGAAGTAGCCTGAGAGCCTGAGAGCCTGAGAACCCATGTCATGAGTCGATCGCTCAAAGGGGGTTAGTGTGACCCTCCCGCTTCCGTCATCGTCTCTCCAGCCTCCACTCTTCCCCCATCTACCATCTACCCTTATCTCCTCTCCTCCCGAGGTTCCTTCTCATATCCCAAGTCATTCTCTTCTTGCATCCAACACCTACAACTTTCTTTTCTCATATTGGATGATGAAGTCATTCACTCTCCTAACAGCTTCGGCGTTGTTGGGCAGTGCTACCGCCGAGGTTCACAGGCTCAAGCTCAACAAGGTCCCTCTGTCCGAGCAACTGGTATGATTATCATCATAGACATTTCCCTGAGAATACCCAGGAAGCTAAGATATTGATAGAACACACACAACATCGATGCTCATGTGCACAACCTGGGTCAGAAGTACATGGGCATTCGTCCCGAGAAGCACCAGGACCTGTTCCACGACACTTCCCTAAATCCCGCTAGTGGCCATGACGTGCTCGTTGACAACTTCCTGAATGCTCAGTGTAAGATACCACCCCTGGCCATTTACGGTCTGATTGATGACGCTGACCTTGTCAGACTTCTCCGAGATCTCGATCGGAACCCCTCCTCAGACCTTCAAGGTTGTCCTTGACACTGGTAGCTCCAACCTCTGGGTCCCTTCTTCCCAGTGCAGCTCTATTGCCTGCTTCCTCCACAGCAAGTATGACTCGTCTTCTTCGAGTACCTATCAGAAGAATGGCACCGAGTTCGAGATTCGCTATGGATCTGGCAGCCTGAGCGGCTTCGTGTCTAAGGACACCCTCCAGATTGGTGACTTGAAGGTCGAGGGACAGGACTTCGCCGAAGCTACCAATGAGCCTGGTCTGGCTTTTGCCTTCGGTCGCTTTGATGGTATTCTCGGCCTTGGCTATGATACCATCTCCGTGAACAAGATGGTCCCTCCCTTCTATCACATGATCAACCAGAAGCTCGTGGATGAGCCTGTGTTCGCTTTCTACCTTGGCGATGCCAACAAGGATGGTGATGACTCTGTCGCTACCTTTGGTGGTATCGACAAGAGCCACTACACTGGTGAGCTGATCAAGATCCCTCTCCGCCGCAAGGCGTACTGGGAGGTTGAGCTCAACTCCATTGCCCTTGGCAACAACGTTGCTGAACTTGAGAACACTGGTGTCATTCTGGACACTGGTACCTCTCTCATTGCCCTGCCCTCCACCATGGCTGAGCTGCTGTAAGTTGATTTTCCCCTTGTCTTTGTAACATATTTGCTGACCCATCCCACAGGAACAAGGAGATTGGTGCCACCAAGGGCTTCACTGGCCAGTACAGTGTCGAGTGTGACAAGCGTGACTCGTTGCCTGACCTCACCTTCACCCTGGGTGGTCACGAGTTCACCATTGGCCCCTACGACTACATCCTGGAGGTCCAGGGCTCCTGCATCAGCAGCTTCATGGGCATGGACTTCCCAGAGCCTGTGGGTCCCCTTGCTATTTTGGGTGATTCCTTCCTGCGCCGCTGGTACAGTGTCTACGACGTCGGTAACAACGCCGTCGGTCTGGCTAAAGCGAAATAAATTCCCCAATGCTCGATGGCCCGGTGAGCTTTGAATATCAAAGAACCAGGTGATACCAAGAGATCGCTTCGTATATACATGTGGCTTCTGGGTTGAACGTATGGTTTCATAGCGCACTTTATTCGCCTATTGCTAAGGGTTTTTGTGGTTTTTCTTTTGCTGGTACAGCTTCATCATGAGGCCCGCGTTCATTGGCACTGCAAATTGATATCTCTATATCTCTATTGGTTAAGATCTACTTATTACATTTGACCTTGTTATTGAATAATCCTTCCCTCATAATGAATGGCCTTGGTATTCCATATGTGTGCTGGATATCTCGGCAAATTCCCAGATGTAAGAAATTGAGTGGCAATTGGTCAAGCCATTATATCAGACCATTCAGAAAAATAAAGATACTTTAAGTGAAGTAGATCGCATGTCAATTAGCAAGAGGAGATACCGGTTTTCAAGTACCGGTATGACATAAGCGGAAGTAGCTCCAGGTCCAACCTGGATTGAGTGAGTCCCCGCACAACTTCAATGAGCTTGCCTTTTCTTTGATCGCAACCCGCATTCCTCTTTCAACTTCCTCCACCTTCTCAAATTCAAGCAAATTACTCCGCCTGGTGTGTGGCTTGCCTCTAACCTCCGCGCCAGGTTGTGCTAGGCGCACAGTTTTCTTTTCCCACCCACGCTTTGGAGTGGCGATTCTCATTGCGCTGCCTAATCAACCATTCACATCTACCTATTCCACCGATATAGCCTGGACCACTGAGTCATAGGCAGAAATACACCCGCTGAAACCCAATATACTCCAGCTCTACACGCGTTGCGTGTCGGTGATGGCTTCGTAGCCGGAAGCGCACGCGATCAATCCCATTCGACCCACACGTCCTCACGTCCTCGACGCGCACTGTCCACAAACCAAGGGCACAGGATATATTTTGGGAGAACGGCAGGACAACTATTGAGCTTTTGTACATTGCATCGCGCCTGGGGGCGAACGAAGAGCAACAATGCTTCTCCGTCTGCCCACCAGCCTACATTACCCGATCACCGTGACGTCGCTGCTCAAACAGCCTGGCGATACGGTTGAGAGGGATGAGGCTTTGTTTTGGTATGTCTATCAGACCACCGTCACTGAGGGTGATGGACTGGGCAACATCGTCGAGGTGAAGCGTAGATACCCGACTAGATTTGAATCGACTGTTGATGGAGAAATTGTTAAATGGCAAATCCAAAAGGGAGACGTTATCGATGAACCGTGAGAATATTGAACCTTGTCCTTTTACTGTTGAATGTCCGCTAATTTGTTGCTAGGGTCAACGTTGTCGAAATCGATGAGCCTTGCGCGCACGAGATCCAGTTTGGAGGACTTTGTGCTGAGTGTGGGAAGGACATGACTGAGTATGTATAACCCTCTTAGCGGGAAACAAGCCTTTCTAACTGTCTATCGCGCGAACAGATCTACATACAACACCGAAATCACAGATTCTATGCGCGCTCCAATCTCCATGGCCCATGATAACGTCACACTTACGGTCAGCGAACGGGAGGCAACCCGAGTTGAAGAAGACGCGAAGCGCCGGCTACTTGCATCAAGGCGTTTGACCTTGGTGGTGGATCTTGATCAAACTATCATCCATGCCACTGTTGATCCGACAGTGGGAGAATGGAGAGAAGACAAGCAAAATCCGAACCACGAAGCTGTGAAGGATGTGCGACAATTCCAATTGATTGACGATGGACCTGGGATGCGTGGATGTTGGTACTACATCAAGCTGCGGCCAGGGCTGGAGGAATTCTTGCAAAATGTGGCTGAGATATATGAGTTGCACATCTACACCATGGGCACTCGTGCTTATGCCCAACATATTGTTGATATCATTGATCCCACCCGCAAACTCTTTGGAGACCGAATTCTTAGTCGTGACGAGAGCGGAAGTTTGACGGTCAAGGACCTACAACGGCTATTCCCAGTGGACACAAAGATGGTGGTAATCATTGACGATCGTGGTGATATCTGGCGGTGGAGTCCCAATCTTATCAAGGTCTCGCCTTATGACTTCTTCGTCGGAATTGGTGATATCAATTCAAGTTTCCTTCCAAAGAAGGAAGACATTGGGGCGAACAAGCCTCAGATCGAAGCAAAGGCCCCAGAGAAGACCAAAGAACACCACGTCAATGGTAAAACGCAAGAGGGGACCGATATCTCAGCATTAGAACAGCTGGTAACCATGGGAGGTGGGGACAGCCCAAGACTCCTCCAGGAACAGACCGATGCGCAAGAAGAGACAATATTGCATCAAGTGGAGGATCGACCTTTGTTGCAGAAGCAAAAGGAGTTGGAGGCGGAGGAAAATATCGCTGAAACCAGTGATGCATTGTCTAGCGTCAAAGAAACCCAGGAAGCTGCAAAACAACGACATCACCTCCTTGAGGATCACGACCAAGAACTCTACCAGCTGCAAAACCGCCTCGAACAAGTACATCTTCAATTCTATGATGAATATGATAAGAGGAGGACTCTCGCTCTTGGGG